AAAAATGTGCCGATTCATATTCAGCATATAGTCTGTATTAAAAATGACACACTTGAAGGGTTTGGCTCCTTTGTTTGCTGGGCACCTGCTACAAATATCTGCATGCACAGCATCACAATTTTCCACTGAGACTGTCCACCTAGAAGAAGCCATTTTCATTTCTATTTATGAAAACAGTTACATTTATATATATACTACATGTATATCTACTGTATATAGCACTTTGTTTTTGCAGCATTTTTAAACAACAAAACTTTCTTAACTACATTTTTTTTGCAGGCTATTCTCAAATGTAACATTTAGCTCCTAGATGTTGATTAAATATCCCATTTTAATTCTTTATGAAAAATCAGTGTTCAGGAAAATAACTGTATGAATAAATAAACAAGAGAGAGAGAGAAAAAAACTAAAAACAAGAAAGAGTTTTGCATGTGTATTAAATCTGTCAAGTGCCAGAGAAACAACACATTTTTTTTTCTAAGAAAAACATCAAGAACATCCAAAGAAGATTGTAGGGAGTAGATGAGAATAAATGTTGGATGAACAAAGATTTGTTATAAACTAACATGAAAAGAATATTGTGATGAAACCCATAAAGGCTCTCCCATTGGTGAAGCTTGCTTTTTGATCAAAAAGACTTAAATAAAGCTTGCAAAAAACCTATTTAACTTGTCAAAACAATATGCAATCTATTTAAAAAAAATGAATTGTTCTTCACAGTAAGATAAATTCATGACCAACCAATTCAGTGAGAATCTCTACAGTACTTTGGTTATAGTGAGAGTGACTCATTTGTGAGCCTTAGAAAGCTAAAGAAGAGACATTGAATATATTTTATTATTATTATTAATAGTATTAATAAAATAATTTGAGATATAATAGCAACTATTGACAGAAATATCTTACCTTATACACTGCAAAAATTATTCTCATTTAGTATTTTTGTTTTGTTTTCCAGTACAAATATCTAAACATTCTTAAATCAAGATACATTTACTTGAGAAGCAAATGACGTAAGATATAAAGTCTTGTTTTAAATGAGATAAGTTTATGCTTAAAACAAGAAGAAAAAAATCTGCCAAAGGTGTAAGAAAAATAAACTTAATTAAATAGGAAATCAGGATTATTTTTCTTACCCTATACTGGCAGATATTTTTCTTGGCTTAATATCTTATATAACTTATATAATATATAACTAATATCGTATATATCGTCTAACCATCTTCGTTGTATGCTGTACAATTGAAGTTCTCTCAGATGACAGCTCACTGATACTCTGTGAATCCTGTGGAAATATTACTCTGAGCTTAATAGGATGGTGGAAGGCTGAAATCTTGCGTGAGATGGCGACTGCAATTTTCTGTGTGTCCCACAAGGGACAGGACTTGTCATGTATAACACAGACCCACTCAAGAAGAAAATGATGGATTTCACAGTTTGGCCTGTCTCATGCCTTGTGCATTTCAACTTTAGTTTGTTTTGAGGGAACACAAGGGAGAGAATAAACCGGAGGGGAAATGTATTATCATGATCATAGTCTCTGACAGTTCTGTACTTGTTAATCATTTGATGTTGAAGACTTACCCTCTTTTTAGGCTGATTGTGATGTCACAATAAGAAGACGTTGCCTTTGGGGTTTCAGATGGAGCAAAGAACTTTTCTGTCATCATTTACTCACCCTCATGTCATTCCAAACCTGTATGATGTAACTTTAAAAATTATTATTGAAAATCAGTGGTGTCCAAAACAACACTTATGTTCATTAAACAGACAAGAAATATCTACTTAAGAAAGTCATTTGGGTTTGGAACGACACAAGTGTGAGAAAACAATGATAGAATTTTCTGTTTTGGGTGAATCATTCCTTTTATTCAATTATGCTTCTTCCAAATATGACTATATTTGCATTAAGGCAGTTTACTTTTCAGATACTGTCAATAGCATCTATTATAGTCATTGTAAACATGGCCTGTGATGTCGTAATGTACAATAACCTTTCCATTCTAATAATCATACAATGGGTGGTTATAAATAAATATGAGGTAACCCAGAAGCAGAAGCCTCTTCTAAGAACTCGATTGAAGTTTCTTCAGCAAAATAACAAAGAATTGGGCGGCGGCAAATGCATTCGGTTATTTATGCAAAGGCAGTTCTCACTCTAAAAAGAAGCAGGGCTCTCTTCACAGCAAGACTCCAGCATTCGTACCCAGAAAAAGCAAATGCATGAAAGAGAAGTGAGAGCTCTTCCTTAAGCATCCATCCCAAAGCACCTATTACGACCCATCCACATTAAAACCCCGAATACACAACGAAAAAATCCCTTGTATCCCATTTACATACTTTTTTTTCCCTCCACAATAATCTCACCATTCTGTCTCAGCGGCGGCGGCCCCTGGTTCTTATAATGCATTAAATGCACACTGAGGCTCTGAGCTGCTCTGTATCCTTTTAGATAGAAAAACAACAGCAAAATGAGGAAACGCCTCATTGAAGAAGAGAAAACAGCTTTTTGTTTGTAATTCCCTGCTTAGCATTCTGGGAAAACTGCTGGGAGATCGATGTAGCTGTCAATCTCTGGCCCTCTGTGACTTAGCTGATAGAAAAAATTACTTGAAACAAAAAAGAGTTTTTTTTTTTACATTAAATGATTAATAATATGGTACTTGTTTAGGAGAGGAAGCAAACCTGATGAATTTCAGTAAGGAAGATTTATTATGGGAGTCAGATGGGAATATCCTTGGTGTAGAACTGAAAATCTGTATCCTAATTGAATAACAAAATGGGCAATGCTGATAAATGCAGCCTGCCACAGGGAATTATATAAATCAAAGATCCAGTTATGTCTGTATATACAGAAAGTAAACACTGCCCTGTAGGCAAAGATGCACATCTTGCTTTAGCATTGATATGTTTTCCTGTTTAAAAGGCTTCACAAGACTGGGCATATTTACCATGATTACACATATCTCAAAGTACCTCATGAGCAAGCATTTGAATAATGCCCACAATATGGATTTTCAGTTTCTGCATTTTTACAGTATATATACACAAATCAAACTGCAGAATTTCTGTGTAATGTTTCATTGTTGAAGACAAGTTCTCAGTCCCAGTTGCGAAAATCCTGGAGAAAACAGTGGAGGCCAGCTTTCCTAGTTGAGAGGAAAACTTTGAAAGACATAATTATACAACAGTTCGTTTTAATTCTCCAATTTGATTTCTGATCATTCTGATTTTTTTTTCTGCAGGTTACATTTTTATGCCAGTAGGTGGCGGCAACAAATTTGTTCAAAAACTTTTATTCATTCAGGAACAACACAATTTTCTGCTACTGTTTTGTGAGCGAGTCATTTAATGATTCACTCAAGCGATGCATTCAAAAACACTGATTCATTCAGGACGGACACTACTGGAAATGTGCAACTGTTCTGCTGTGGCTTCATTTTTTGACTTATTTTCATTTCTATAATTATTTTAGTGGACCAAAATAGGCAAGTAATTGCAAAACTGTGTCTAAAATGTCTAAGCGACTCAACATCGTTTTTCCCTTCTATTCTTTCACTAAGAGATTATCAGTGTGAGAAACTAAAGATTAATTGTTTTCTTTGAGACTTCTAGTCTGTTTAAAACATCAGTGTTCCCCATATCCAGAGATGACATAAAACGTCAACAACAACGTGTGTAATTAAATGGATAAAACATGCTAATCAACAGAGAACAGCATTACTGATAGAGACATAAAGGTAGACACAGTTTATAGAAAACCATTTTAATATTGATTTGCTTCTGATAAGGCTGCATGTTTATCTACCAAAGCTACTGTAGTTGCATGTCTACTAATGCCAGTAAAGAGAAATGAAGCCCACTTTTTTGCCAACCATTGAAACTGGATTACACAGAAAACTAAAAGTATGTTTAATGTGGCATTCTGAATGGCCATCTCCCGCATAATTCATGTGGAGGTATGGTAATTGTTAAGATGGTAAAAACAACAACTACTGCACTGACCCTACCAAATTAGGGCTTAATTTTCCCGAACTGATTCAGGTTTCTGTCCAGTGACACAGATTCAGTGTTTGGTTATCATGGTTATCACCATTAACAAAATGAATGTTTTCTATTGTCTTGTATTTATGAAACCTACACAAGCATAATGAAGCCTACCTATTCTCAGAACAGCACAGAACAAACTGGATCATGGATTGAACTGGAGTTAGACTTGCCTATATGAATGGTAATCTGAGTTCCAGTAGGTGACTGTGGCCTCTTTTATTGGGTCGACAGACTGATATCTTTGGGAAATTCACTAAGAATGAGTTGCGCCTGCCGACAGAGGCAATTAATTACATTGTTTGTTGTGTTTAACTGCCCGATTCAGAATTACGCAACTATAGATAATAGAACAAAAGCACCCGAAAATCTGCATGGCACAATTCCCAAATTTGCTGGTTGCTTCTGTGCATTATGGTTGTGGAGGATACAGTGGATACACTACCATAATTTGACATACTGTACAGCACCAAGTCGACCACTCCGCACATCTGCTCTTCTCCATTATTTGCACATTACTTGTTGAATTACTGTTGCTATGATCAGTAGAAAATGTACAAAGTAATTTTCCATCTGATTTCCGCCAGCGGTAGTAGCACTAGAGTAGCAGTAGAGTTTTGTGAATAAGCTGCAATCTATTAGAAGTCTAGTTTGTATGGAAACTTGTTTGTTTGGGCTGAAAACGAATGACAACGAATACTTACAGCTCAGTGCTATTTTAGCGCTAAAGATGTTTGCGCTGAAATATTGTGTTGCAACTGTTTAGTGAATTTTCCTCCGGTTTTTTTTTTTTGTCATCATGGATCCAATGGAACAAATTCTCAATCAAGCAAAAAAAAAAAAGCTAGATTTCCATTACATCAAGAGAATATGTATTTCCACAGATAGCCTTAAGAAACAAAACCAAGAATACAGTCTTAATTTAAACCCACTGAATAGGTTTAGGACATGATAGATCGTCATATGATGTCTTTTAATATGTATCTATATGTATATATACAGTTACTTTCAATACAAAGCTCCCACAAAATACATTGAGCATGCCGACAAATAAAAAGATATCTGGCCCAAGCAGTTGTAGACAGTGAGGTGACCTTTGACCTGGGGAATCTTCCAAATTGACAGCATGTGGACACTAGCGGTGAGCGGTAAACTCAGAAGTGGAGGGAAATAGCAGGGCTTCATGAGCTCCTAGTCTTTTACCAAAGCCAGTGCGGACACAGAACGACAAACTGGTGGTGGAATGGAAAAAAAAATCTCCTATTGATTTCCACCTCATTTTCACAGACCAGTGCTTATCCGTCATGATCCTTCATACAGTCATTCACAGTTTATATCAGGATTGTCCAGTTTACCTAGGGACATAAAGTTTTGAAATATATCAAATATAATTTGAAATCCAGTAAACGGCTCCCCTAAGCTGTATGAGTTTAGAACCAGAGGAAGGTGGTGAGGAGAAACGCAGAAAATCGAGAGAATTAGACACGGTAGAGTCCGCAGTGTTGGGCTCATTGATCAAAAATACAGATTAGCCTGCTTTATTTCTATTTGTCATATTCCTTGGCACCGAATGAGCAAATCTGGTCTTTATCCCCAAAAATGTCCTTCTTTATTGTTCAGTCACAGGTAATCCAGTCAAACACCCCTTGGAATGAATGGTTTCGTCCATTCTGACAGAAAGAATCCACATTCACTGCCTGTGAAGGAGCTCTTTGTTAGGTCCGGGGATGAATCTAAAAACAGATAAAAAGGGAGAGAAAACACACATGCATGCTTAGAACAAAGGTGAAATATTTGTGAAGAACGAATCCCAGATTTTCAAACCAGCAAAGAAAGCTCCTTTGAACTGTGGAGTTATTGTTTGTGTGTAGATGATTGTAATTTGTCTACTGTAACATATCTATACTGTTAATGGACCGATTGGCACAGAACGTGTAATGTTGTCAGTTGCCCATCTGCCATCTCTGTATGTTCCCTGTTTACACTGCACAGTGAAAAGAGCTCAGTAGCATTGCCAAGAGGTAAATAACATTCTTTTCTTCCTCTCTGTTTCTCCATCCCTCGTTTTCTCTCTCTTTGTGACTTCAGGGACCCTTATTTAGTCTGTCTGTTGAGTGTGTCGTGCTCTCAATGCTACATTGTGCTTCACTCAGACCGTTATTAACGATTTGTCTTCTCCCTCCTCAGACTGGAGGAAATGCACGATAACAGCCACAGTCACTAACGATTAGCCCATCTTATGTCAGCACAAATCGTCTTTAGATGTGCTTCCAAAAAGCTTGTCGCTGAATGAACATGTCGCAGTCCTCACACAATCAATGTTTAATATCAATCTCAAACACGCCACATACATTATGACACCACTGCTGAGTGTCTGTCTGTCTGTCTGTCTATCTATCTATCTATCTGAGAGATAAATGAGAAGTTAGGCAGAGAACGACAGACAGACAGACAGACAGACAAGACAGACAGACAGACAGACAGACAGACAGATAGATAGATAGATAGATAGATAGATAGATCTCTGCCTGTCTATCTATCTATCTGAGAGATAAATGAGAAGTTAGGTAGAGAACAACAGACAGACAGACAGTCAGAGATAGATAGATAGATAGATCTCTGTTTCTCTATCTGACTGTCTGTCTGTCCGTGTATCTCTCTGTCTGTCTAAAGAAGTACTTTACTGGCATGATTGTTACACATACAATATTTTCAAAATCATCCAATCATCCATCCATCAATCAATCCATCCCACTCAGAGCTAGGTGGTGTTTTTATCATAAAGTTGTGAAGTCAGTAGTGCAATGAAGCTAATTAAATGCTCAAGCCTGTGGCCTTGCCCTCAGCACATAAAGCATATGTTGACATTTCTCCGTCTAGATGTGAAGGAAGGCAGCCAGGTGTGAGCTACAGATTGAGAGAGAGACATAGACAGAGACAGAGAGAGTGACTGGGGACAGAAATTAGAAGCACCCCTGTAGGATTAAGGATTTAGAATAAGGTCTTGCAGAATAAGACATTAATTTGTGATTTTTAAGTAACAATAAACAGCCAATACCCCAGTAATATTCATGCTAATAACCAACAAGTTAATAGTGAGAATTGGACACTAAAGTGTTACCAATATTCTTATTAACTCACCAAAGTATTTAAAGTGAGAAGGGTATATAAAAAGCATGCATTTTAAGGTTAGAAAAAATAAGAGTAATCCCTTACTTTACTTTTTCAAGGGAAAAGTAATTTAAGTACAGTAACTAATTACTTAGTAACTAGTTACACCCAACACTGATAAGTCGGTGCCGATATCTTTGTGGGCAGCACGCCGACATACAGCGCCGTTGCGCCTGAGTTCAAATCCCGACTCGAGGACCTTTCCTGATCCTGCCCCTATCTCTCTCACTTTGCTTCCTGTCAGTTCTGATCTGTTCTATCATAATAAATGCAAAAAGTAAAAATAAATAAAATAAAATATAGATATAATAGTATGGTAAATTGTAATTAAAATGATTGTCATTGTACATTTATCTGCCTATTCTTTTTTATTTTTATTTTTTACAGTTTTTTTTGTGGGATTATGGGCTCAAAATGTCTATAGTTGTAAAATTTAACTGTACAGATGTGTATAATATAAATATAATATAAAGGGATCATATATTTGTTTCTAAATCTCATACATTTTAGATGCTGTCAATATGTCCATATTGTACACTTCACCATCTATCCAAATGTATGTATGGATACCTATAAACACTAATGAGATTGGGATGCTTTGTTCTGGCCTCTGACGTTGGATTAAAGGGCCAGTCCTGAGGTGATTTATCCAGCCTGGAGAACATGGCTCACAGCCGTACAATAGCTACAGGTTGAGTCCAACTCTCCTCTCAAATGAGGCAGATGAAGTTACATGAACTGGGGGAGGATATAAACCTTGTCTTCGTGTTTACGCATTGATTTTGGTTGTATTTTAAGGAACGGAATGATATAGCCATTAGGAACAGGTATAAGTAGGTAAATGCAGGGTGTCTCTCAGCCTCTTTCACTGTGTGCCTTCCTCAAAAGAGGCCTGCCTTGTCTGGAGCTACAGGCAAGGAGGGGTCCCTCTCTGTAAGACATAAAGAAAAAAAGAGAAAAAAGGGTGTCAGGCACACGCTTTGGCTTTTTCTTACTCACATGCCAATTTGAAAAAACGAGAATGGACGCCATACCAGCGTTTGTGAGTAAACAAGCTTGTGTGTGTAAGCGTGAGTGCTTAAACCGTAGTTTTCAGAGCAAAAAATAAATAAAAATACTGCAAGTGACGGTTTTAGCATTTAGCTTTCTTTTTGTTTGTTCTGATCATAGACATCCTTAGATTGCCTTGAAAGGACCGGGAGGGAGTGCTGGGTCGGGATGGGGGATGAAGGTGACCGAGCCAGCAAGATGGTCAAAGGTGTTTATAGAAAGTCAGCGCTGGACTCAAACAGATACCAACTCTCCAGTGAAGCAGATCAGACACTCCAGGCTAGGAGGTTACAGGAAGTGCACACCTACACACACATGCACAAATACACCCTGCACACCTCAAAGAAAATGGGATAACGCTGGGGAACCCACAAACAAACATGGTAATCCAGTCCTCACCATGCCTTGGAGCTTACAAAACGGCAGACAATAGAAGCAAACGACGAGGCAAAATACTGATTTCAGCATTATGCACTTATTACCGACTACACGGTCATGCTTGAGCCCTTTTCGCCGTGTGTGTGTTTGCACGCTCATTAATTTGAGCCTGTCCCTGGGTGCATGTGACTGCGTGTTTGCATGCATGCAATTATGCTGCATTAGTACAATGGCACAGTATGTTTTGGAGTGTGTGACTGCACACGACAAAGACGGTTCGCTTGTGCATTTGTTTCTATTCGGTAATTACTGTGCAGACTGCCGCATTCACATTTTTCATTATGTTCGTGTGTGCACACACTTATAAATTATGCTGACGGGAGAATAGACACTGGAGGAGGAATATATTTGTGGCTTTTTAATCATCCGCAACATATAAATACACTCACAAACACAAACACTGACTCAGCAATAAGTATGTTTGGGACTGTAATGATGTTGATGAGCAGTGATTAAAATGTGCAAGCCTAATCATATGGCTCAAGATGTTTAAAAAAATGGAAATGCCTACCTTGATGAGGAGAAGGACGCCGCTGAGCTTCTGGTGAACCAGCTTCAGTGGCCCTCAGAGCTAAAAAGTCGAATATGGCTGGGTGTTCTGGGAAGAAAGATATGAGGGGGGAAAAAAGGAAGTTTAATATCAAGAGTGGGGTTTTCTTTCCCATTTACCTGTGCTCTAATTACTACCTTTGAAAAGATGAGTAAATTTGGTTGTTTCTTTACAGTTTTTTCTATTCATTCTCAATTAGAGATAAAGGAAGAATTCACCTTAAAATGTAAATTCTGTTATCATTTACTCACCTTCATGTCACCCCAAACCAAAAAGTAGAAATCTTTGAAGAACTGCTACGCAACTATTGCCAAACAATGAGCTGTCAGGCACCAAATAAGAACAAAAAAAGTTGTAGTCGACATGATTTGTATGCTATATTCCGTATAATACTTTTAATGCTTTTGTGAAGTAAAGACTGAACGTTTAGAAAGCATTAACCTAGATTATTCATCTTTACCAAAGCTTTCATCATCCTAAATCCAAATTCCAAAATGGTGCATTAGATGCTTCGCCACTGATTCTTGTGTGTGTAGCAACCAAACATGGCATTTCATTTTTGAATTTGTACAAAAATGAATGCAAACTTGGTCTAGACGTGAGCTTTAGGGCAGGATTATCAGTGAATATTGAGTTTTGAATTATGAATAATCAGTAAATAAGGTCTGATTACCATTTACTCTAGCAGATAATAGCACTTTTCTGATGTTTTTCTTTTGACTTTTTTGGAGCTTGAAAGTTCCTAGTCTTGTCATTGTTGTTAAGGAAGAGCATCGGAACAACACGAGTGTGAGTAAACAACGACAATTTTCATTTTTGTGTAAACTTTCCTTGCTTGACACAAGTGGGCACATTATTTTATTCATTCTGTTTAAAGATACTTTTACACTAATAATTCAAGAGATGATTTCTCTGGTTCATTAGGTTTGTATGCATGATCTTACCTGGGAAATCTCGAAAATCATCCAGCCACCATCGGATAAGCAGGGCTTGGGATAGTTTAAAAGACGAGCAGATGCCAAGGAGGGACCAAACAAACCCCTGTAACACTATCTACTTGTGTTCACTGTCACATGACTCTCACAGATCCGCTGTCTGTCACCTCTCTACTGAATCAGTGTATGGGAATACTGATCTGCTCATCAAGTTTTAATATTGTGTCATGCGTACTTCCTGTCAGAGTTGTGATATTTCGTTTATTTTTGTCTGACTTGTGTCTTGATGTCCTGAACTTATTTAGTTTCTTATTTCTTAAGTTGAACTCAGCACAACATCTTTATAATGCTGCATTAGGACTAAATGAAGAAGATGTGTTGTCTGAACACACACTACTGCCACATGGTATCATGAGGAATAAACAAGTTAGTGAGGTGCAGAGTTACATGTGTCCCTTGGTCTTATAAGACAATATTTCTTGTCACTGAATCATTTAACTGGATAATTTTTTCAGAAAAAAAAAAAAAAAGAAAATTGTATATGTGTGTGTTTGTATGTGTGTGAAGTGATGTTCAGCATGTTCCGAGCCCTCACCCTTGTGGTCTTGATCTTATTCCCAGAGGAACACATCCAGCCGGAGTTGTCTGGTAGTGTCTTACACTCCTCTCCCTCCAGACACGGCTCCATCTCACACCACCACTTCCCAATCACGATGGAGGCTGCAGACAGACAGACACACACACACACGCACACGCACACGCACACGCACACGCACACACACACACACACACACACAAGAAAAAGAGTTTCAAACATGTGGACAAATTAAATGTAGTGTACAGCGGGGTTTACACTACTCTCATAGTGCATGATAGTACAGAAAAAAAATGTTTCTATTGAACAGTAATAGTGCAATGTACTTTGTGGGAAAATAATACAAGTGATTTGTTTTGTTTAAAAATCTTATAAATGTATGAAGAGGGAAGGGAAGTGTTTTACCCAACACTCAGTATTTACTCGTAGTATTTATTAATTATTAATGTTTTGCATAATATCTAAATTTGCATAATAGCTAAGTTAATTTCTTGTTCAAAACAAATCACTTCAGCAGTCTTTACTAATTTCTGTTTATTTTGATTGAATAATTTTTCTTTAATAAATATACTGTCATTAAAATGTTCATTTTAAAAATACAGAAAACAAAATATTTCAAAAACAAATATTCTGAAAGATTTGAAGGAGATTCCAAAATAATTTATGACTTCACAGTAATACAAATATGTATATATATATATATATATATATATATATATATGATTTAGAGGAGAATAAAATCAAATGCTCCTTTTAACCTGGTGCACCTTTAGCACCGTTGCACCCTATATCTGATTTATTAAATTCATCTTTAGCAATGTGATAATTCTTGGCTTTTTGCACTTTAAACAGATAACCAGGACTATTCTAAACATTCTAATCACGGGTTATCTTGTCTCATGCTATTAATAATTTAGTATATAATAATAATCCATGAGTTTGGAAATTAATCCTAGACATTCAGGTTTCAAGATTTCATACAGTACTTTTGTAAACCCTGGGATACAATTCTTATTTGCATATTTATGAGGTCAATCCCATTGACTGAACTAGCAACAAGTATGTGACCGGTTTTAATTTGATTGTCCGTCTGTGGAAATGTCAGCATGTAAATCCGCTATGCCTTGTTTTGCTTTACCTGATGAAGCATGTGAAAGTTTCTGTGACTGAACAAAGAGCATGAATATTTAATAAGGCAAGCACTCTTTAGTCTATAATTGGTAACGTGGTAACTCAGGTTTAAGTGCAACGTGACAAGCCACATATTTTACTTTGATATTACACTGACTTAAAAAGGCGTTCAGTATATTTTGACATAAATATTCACTGAATAACATTTGCTGAATAGTTTCTCTCAGGCTAAAAGCAAAGCATGAAAAAAAAACCACTTGTAATTAGCATGGGTTTTGAGTATGTATTTGTGTGTGTACGTGTCAGGGAGCATTCACTGCTACACACAACAGAGGGAGGAGGAAGAGAGGAAGACAAGTGGTGACGACAGAAATGGAGGCTGCCTCGAGTCAATGTGTTTTCCCTCAACGAAACCAGCTCTCGAAATGTTTTCTGTAGTTTTAGTGTAGCTTCTATTTCAAACCAACACACTAACATCATAGTGGGAAATCATTTCAATGACCATATTTTTGAAATAAAACACAGTATAAAGACATATTTCACAGAAGAAAGTAAGTCAAGTAAGGTTTGGAAAAAAATGACGAGTAAATGATCACAGATGTATCATTTTGGGGTGGATTATCTCTTTAGGTCTGTCGACCAACAAACCATATTTTTATTGTTCTTGTTCTGCTGCAGTGAAGAGGATTTTCTGAGGTAAATTGTTTGGGATTTGAAGGTTAAAAGTCCAACTTAGATTTCATTATTCTGTACACTATCTTTGCTGTCTGTCACCAGGGTTAAAAGGTAAAAATTAATCAATATAAAGTCTTAGCGCAATCCTCGCTCACTACTGAGCTAAATCTGAGCAGAGCCTGGCTTCTTTCTCCTCACAAACAGACTCTTAGCTCACTGCTTTACATCCTTCAGATTTTAACAGCTGGTTTTCAGTCTTTTTGAAACACTTATTCTACTTTACTCACTTCTCTGTGAAAGCCTGAATCACAGCTTGCACTTTTGGTATAGGTGTGCAAGTGAGAAAGCCTGGGTTGCATCCAAGATCCAGCAATTTGATAAAACTTACATATAAAAGTAATCTTTATGATATGTTGTTTGCGGTGAAAAAAAGCAAGCCTTGAATGTCAGCAGCGTAGTGCACAAGTGAACCAATTATTATTTTCTCTTTACTATAATAAACATGAATAAAAATCAGAGGGTCTATGGAAAGTTACAGCTTACAGTTACAGTTATCACCCCAATACTGTATGTGTTTAAACCGCCAATGAAACTCCTTGTGTTAAATATACCTCAAGAAAGTAGTGATAGGAAGTTTGATTCCTTTAAGCAAAATGATTCTTTTGGAAGGTTCATTTCAGTAAACTGGTTCATCCATCTGTGAAAGACATTCAGTGTCCACAGATTGTGAAAAAAAGAACCTAAGAAATATGAATAATGCTAAAATGGTAAACAGTGTAAAAACGTTATTACTATTATAACTGAACTATTATATTTTGTCTCAATTATTTGATGTATGTTTGAATAAATCAGTGCAGCTAACATGTTAATGTGTTTCTGGGTCAAAACTACTGAAAATGACAGAGCAGGTCACATATTAATTTATCTAAAGATATTTTTTTCTCAAATTACATCACTATTTATTCAAAACACACCATGGCACCAAAGCTCCACTATAGGTCAGAAAGCATTCACGCAGATTGCGATTTGACCATGCCAACTTCTGTAGATTCTGTAGCAACAGATACCCAAACTCTGACTGTGCTATCTGTCCCATAATTCCTCACTCTCATGTGCGGTGCACACACTAGCCCAAGGTTCATTAAACACTAAACTCCCTCTGGTCTGAACAGGATGGAGAGTAATTACCACAGACACTTCCTACTGCTTTACCTGCCACTTTTCTGTACAGCTCAGTTTTACTGTGTACCATCTTAATCACAAAGCAATTAGCGGTCAGCGGGGGTGTATACATGTACTTGTTATAGATAGGATTGTGTTGTTGTGCAGGACGAATACCTGCAGTTAGTCATCGACGGAAGAGATGAGATATTAGTTTTGTTATCATAGTCCGTCTTGTCCGTTATGTTTCAACACCCAAAACACCCATCTGAGTGGTCAAACTTAGTGAAACTGTGAAAAATAGATCTGAAGCGCAGAATGACACACTTTACATGAAATGCTGCATTCTTTTTTTGAGAGCAGATATTGCACAGGTGTTTTGCCACAGGGCGCTTATTCTCAAATTGAATGTTCCTGAGCTCATACATCGCGAGGAACCAACAAGCCTCTTTTTTATTACCAGGCAGTGAAGGAGTGATATTCAGACACTCTAAATGTTGAAGCCATTTGAAAAATAGTCAAGTAATACCTGCAACAAAGCAAAAAAGAGACAAAGAAATCAATTCCACGGAACAGAGCAATGATGGAATCACCGAAGCCCAGATTAAAACTCTGGCCTATGAAATGTGAAACTTTTTTTTTGTACAAAAAAAGAATTGTATTCAGGGCACTCAGGCTTGTACTGTCTGAGCAGAATGTGGCTACATTTATATTTTGGACAACACCTGTACTATAAGATGGCTATTTGGAAGATGTACATTTGATGATACAACAGATAGTTCTGGTCCTCGGATTTGATTGGCTGAGCATGTTCAAAAAGTGCTGATGTAGCACTGACTCTTTCTGCAAGTTACATCCATTAGCCAGTAGGGGGCAACAAGTGGTTTTACAAGTGAGTCACTGAATCATCCATTCAACTGATTCCTTTAAAGAAACTAATTAATTCACAAATGAAACATGTAAGTGTCTTTGAATCACGCAGTTATTCATTCCAAAACACTGATTTATTTAATTAACAAAACAAATGACTTGGCCTGTCCCAATACCAACACTTGTAGTCTTGGCCTCTACAAAGTGAATGTATGCAGCAAGAAAAAGGTGTGCAAAACTGCCTGAAAAATGTCAAAGCTGACTGCCATTAGCATACACTAAAACATACACTACATCTCTATAACTAATATCTAATTTGGTAGTAAAACATAAGTGAAATTGCGATAGAAATCGCATCCTACGTTCCCTTCATTAGAAATTGCAGGAATCATCCTAACCTTCCCCTTCGGCCCGCTTGGACCACATATCACGTGTGTATGATTTTATGAATGAGTCACTGAATCATTCACTCAACAGATTCATTGATTCATCCAGGAACCAAGTATATCTAGTTGTGGCAGTTACTTTTTCGGTCTTTGTAATTATTTTTGCTGGTAGAGCAAAAATATCCAAAATTAACTAGACACATCTGTCTAAAATATAATTTACTCAGTATTAATGAAACTTATTTGATTAAACCGTTTCATAAAAACATCACACTCTGGATCATGCACTCTCTGCTTTGTTTTCACTCTAATTAAACAATTATACATGATTTTATTTATACACCTTTTTCGAATGTATACTTATACTACGTTTCCATGATAAAACAAGTTTACACAAAACATGAGCAACATAACAGGTTTTCTCCAAATTCTGTAATACTCCAGAAGACACTTCCAGCACTTACTGCCAGTCCTTAAATGTGTAGATACAGCAGAGTCAAAGTGAGACAAATGGTCTGATGTCTACCGCACCAGCGTTTGACCCGTCTGACAGATGGCCCGCTCTCTCTCTTTCCATCGCAAACTTGGCAAGCGGAAGAGAGTTCACGAGAGAGGACACCAAGGTCAGTGCTTTTGCTCTCAGACTTTTATCTGTCTGGATTCATGCCAGACCCCGTTCAGGTGACCTTCTCAGCCTGAAGTCAGGCCTTTCTCACCGGGCCTTGATCCTTATATGGTTCCCTCCGGCATCTCGCCCTCTTCAGGGTCCTCCCGGCCATCAAAAAGTCACAACTTCAGCAACTTTTTTGCCATCGTAGCCTCAGCAGGATGGTGTTTTCTCCCAAGAGAGGGCAAGAAAAAGTGGATTATTGGAGCAGAGCAGGACCCATGGGGCCCAGGTC